GGACATCAGATCCCATTACAGATGGTCATGAACCAACCATGTAGATTCTGGGAATTGAACTCAGGACCTCTGGAAGAGCAGTCAGTGCTCTTAACCGCTGAGCCATCTCTCCAGCTGTTTTACTCTTCTAACATTCGTATTTCCTCGTACCCATCTTTGCCTGCCTCCAGCCTAAAACACACATTCTTCAGGTCATCCCCTTCCTCTCTTGTAACTTTAACTGAGATCATTAGCTTCTTTTATCTTTTATCTTTCCCTGATTCCCATGGCCTTCTCTGTGAACTTCATCGCAGACATAAAACATCTGGGTTATAATAGCCAGTTACCTTATTGAGTAACTCCATTAACCTGTAAATTCTGGAAAGGTAGCGCACTTGTTTTTATTTTTTTAAAGATTTATTTATTTTATTTATGAGTACACTGTAGCTGTCTTCAGACACACCAGAAGAGGGCATCCAATCTCATTACGGATGGTTGTGAGCCACCATGTGGTTGCTGGGATTTGAACTCAGGACCTCTGGAAGAGCAGTCAGTGCTCTTAACCGCTGAGCCATCTCTCCAGACCCGCACTTGTTTTTAACTCTTGACCCTAAGGGCCTATCAGCACACTGGGATACATAAGAAATGTTTAGTAAAGAAATGGAATCTGGTCTCCCATTTGCATAGACACTTGGAACAGATTCTATAGTCTCTTTGAGTCTCCATTTCCTAGTCTGTTAACTGTAAAGAACACTTATGCAGCAAAGTGATTTAAATCTTAAGTAGGTACCCACATTCTGGTTTTGTTGTTGTTGTTTTGTTTTTTCAGGACAGGGTCTCACTATATAGATCTGGCTGTCCTGGAACTCATTATGTAGATCAGGCTGGCCTTGAACTCACAGAGATCTGCCTGCCTCTGCCTTCCAAGCGCTGGAATTAAAGGCATGGGTCAATACACCTAGCTGCCATATTCTGTAATAGCCCTGCTCCTTGGCAATTGTTTTTTGTTTTTTAATTTGTTTATTTGCTGGGTGGTGGTGGCGCACACCTTTAATCCCAGCACTTTCAAGGAAGAGGCAGGCGGATTTCTGAGTTCGAGGCCAGCCTGGTCTACAGAGTGAGTTCCAGGACAGCCAGGACTATACAGAGAAACCCTGTCTCGAAAAGACCATAATAATAATAATAATAATAATAATAATAATAATAATAATAATTTGTTTATTTATGTATGCAGCATTTATGTATCCCTGCAGGCCAGAGGGCACCAGATCTCATTACAGGTGGTTGTGAGCCACCATGTGGTTGCTGGGAATTGAACTCAGAAACTCTGGAAGAGCAGACAGTGTTCTTAACCTCTGAGCCATCTCTCCAGCAATTGTTGAATAAGTATTTGTCCCCTTCTTTTCCTCACCGGCCAGTGATTCTCAACCTGTGGGTCGTGACCCCTTAAGGGTTGAATGACTCTTTCACAGGGGTTGCCTACGACCATAAGAAAACACATGTTTACAATTCATAACAGTAGCAAAATTACAGTTATGAAGTAGCAGTGGAAATAGTTTCATGGTTGAGGGTCACCACAGCATGAGGAGCTGGTTTAAAGGGTGGCGGCATCAGGAAGGTTAGACCTTTCAGAGCTATCCCTTCTTTTTTACACTTCCTGAACTGGCCACTAGGTGGCGATCACCAGCGGCCCGATTGTCTCAGCACTGCCTCCTCAATGCTCTGTCCCAGGCTAATACTCAGCCGCCCCCACCCCTACCCCAAAAGCAAAAAGCAAAATGGTTAATAATTTTTTGAAGGAGGATATTCTTACCCCTAACAGCTTTTTGAAAGCCCGTCTCCGTTCTTGGCAGCCTGGTCATGAACTTCAGAAAATTCTTACTTGATTTTTTTTTCGTTTAGGTTCTAATTCAACTCAAAGCTTATGAAGACGGGCTATCTTAAGGAAAGCGGAGGAGAGAAGACACTGAGGGACAAAGAGAAAATGAATAATAAACACTGTAGTAGCACCACAGAGAGGGAATGCTTACAGGAACACCCTTCTTCCTCTCCCCCCAGACTTCCCTGGTGCAGCCAGTTTCTTTGACAGTCAATCAAAAGCTGAGGCTGGGGAGAGGGGGAGGGGCACGTGCACAGGGGAAGGGGTAGGGGAGGGGGAATGAAGGGAGTGGCTCAGGGGAGGCATTAAAAGAGATGAGAACAAAGTCTCTGTGCTAACGTTGTTTTATGGTCTGGTGGTGGACAAAGAATCCATTAAATTAAGTGCCAAACTCCAGATTCTGAGACCATGATGAATATAGGTAAGATTTATTCTGTTTAAGTCAGGATTTTACCACGTAGCCCAAGCTGGTGTGGAAAGCCCCCTTGTGTTCCAAACCCCCCTTGTGTTCCAAACCATCTTCAAACTTCTGATTCTCCTGCCTCTGTTTCCTGCGTTTTTGGAAAATAGGCTTGTGCCACCACTCCTGGCTTTTTGAATAGCCCAGAAATAACAGCAGAGCTTTTCAGAGGGCTGGGGGGAACAGAGTCACGATAGGCTTGGGTAGAGATAAACATTCTGTCATCTCACGGAGCCAATGTCAGCGGTTCATATACCAGGACAAACTAAGCGCCTGGCCAACAAGAAGCTTCAAGATATTAATATGAGACCCGGTCTGCATCTGTACAGATAGCACAGAAGGAGCTCAGGACAAGCTGACGTGAAGAGTGTGAGTTCTAAAACAGTATATACCAGCTTCTCTGTGATTTTAAAGACTATCACCTATAACTGTACACTACTAAAACAAACAGGATTCCTTGAAGACACTTCTAAAGAATATGCCTAGTGTTTTCTCTGAGGGTGGGGCCAGAAGTGGGAGTTAAGAAGTGACAAGTTTGGCCAGGCATGGTACCACATGCCTTTAGTCTCAGCAGTCAGGAGGTAGAAGCAGAGATAGATGGGTTCAAGATAAGTTCAAGGCCAGCCTGGTCTACAAAGCAAGTCCAGGACAGCCAGAGCTACTACACAGAGAAACACTATCTCGAAAAACCCAGAATAAACAAATAGCAACAACAACAAAATGAAAACAAACAGAAAAATAAGGAGAAAGAAGTAACAAGTTTATTTTCTCTTATTCTAAGTTTTATTAAGAATTAAGTATCGGGGCTGGAGAGATGGCTCAGCGGTTAAGAGCACTGACTGCTCTTCCAGAGGTCCTGAGTTCAAATCCCAGCAACCACATGGTGGCTCACAACCATCCGTAATGAGATTGGATCCCCTCTTCTGGTGTGTCCGAAGGCAGCGACAGTGTACTAATAAAATAAATAAATAAATAAGAACAAGAAAGTTTAAAAAAAAAAAAAAAGAATTAAGTATCACCATATTTGTAATGCAAAGTTAATAAAAAAAATAAATAAAAACACAGGGCTGGAGAGATGATGGATTAGCAGGTTAAAAGTCCAGTTGCTCTTCCAGAGGACCTGGGTTCAATTCACAGCACCCACATGGTGGCTCACAACTGTCTGTAACTCCAGTTCCACGGGAATCTGGCACCCTCACACAGATAGACACGCAGGAAGGACACCAATGCATAATAACAAAAAAAAACCAATAAAAAAAGAAAGAAAATAAATTAAAATACATTCGTTTTCAGTAGATAGCATAGACACAGAATGGTGACTGAGGGCAGATTCTGGATGGCTAAGGCCAGGAGAGCTCACACTTGACTCATTGTGTTGAACTTTCATTGTTTCTGTTACAATTCCAGCCTAAGCTGCTACTATTCCCACCGCCACCTATTCCCATGCCCACTGTGGTGGTATACATCTTTTTTTTTTTTTAATGTATATTGTTGTCCTTTCTGCATGTATATCTGTGAGGGTGTCAGATCCCCTGGAACTGAAGTTACAGACAGTTGTGAGCTGCCATGTGAGTACTGGGAATTGAACCCAGGTCCTCTGGAAGAGCAGCCATCTCTCCAGCCCCCTCCTCCACCCTCTTTTGAGACAGGGTCTCATGTAGCACAGGCTGGTCTAGCTCTTTCTCTATAGCCAAGGATGGCCTCTGACTTCTCCACTCTTGCTCCTCTATCCTCCACGTCCTCGGTGATGGGTTACAGGTGTGTGCCACTGCATACAGTATACAGTGCTAGGCTTCAAGCCCAGGGCTTCGAGCATGCCCAGTGAGCACACAGTGAGCTGAACTACATCCCAGTCCTTGGAAGAGGTTTCCTAAGAGGTGGCAAGGTGCTGGAGACATGGCTTAGTGGTTAAAAACAACCGCTCTTCCAGAGGACCCGAGTTATGCTCCCAGTACCCAAGTTGGGTGGTGGTAGCGTCAGCTCCAGCAGGGGATCCAATGCCTTAGGTCTTTATATACTTACACATGCATATACATAGTTAAAAACAATGAAAACAAAAATCTTTTCTAAGAATTTTAGAGGCTGGAGAGATGGCTCAGTGGTTAAGAGCTCTGGTTACTCTTCCAGAGTTCCTGAGTTCAATTCCCAGCAACCACATGGTGGCTCACAACCATCTGTAATGTGATCTGGTGCCCTCCTCTGGTCTGTAGGCATATATGCAGGCAGAACATTGTAATAATAATAATTATTTATTTATTTATTTGTTTAATGTATTTTTGTCTGCTTGTTTACCTGCAGGCCAGAAGAGGTCATTACACCCCATTATAGATGGTAGTGAGCTACCATGTGGTTGCTGGGAATTGAACTCAAGACCTCTGGAAGAGCAGCCAGTGTGCTTAACTACTGAACCATCTCTCCAGCCCCCAAATAAATAAATCTTTAAAAAAGATTTTTTTTCATATGTCTGTGTGTAGAAGTGTGTACATGTGTGCAGGCTCTCATGGAGGCCACCAGAGGGCATCAGATCCCCTGGAGCTGGAGTTACAAGCAGTTATGAGCCACCTCTGTAAGAACAGCAAGACCTCTTAATCCCTGAGCCATCTCTCCAGCCCTACAGCTATCTATCTATCTATCCATCAAGCTACCTTTCTTTCCTTCTTTCTTTTTTCTTTTCCTTCTTTCTCTTTCTTCTTCTTCTTCTTCTTCTTCTTTTTTTTTTTTTTTTGATATGGTTGTTGTTTTAAAGGGTAGCTACAATGAGAAGACACTGAGACAAAGAATTAAAGGAAATGCCCAGTTACAGAAGAGACACTAGGTAAGAAAGCTTCAGGAAGATTCACCTACGTAAGCCAAGTTCTCAGGCTTCTCAGGCTACACCCTACATGATAGCGATTGATATCGTTTTTTTCCTGTCATCGTTGCCCGAGGTCAGTTTCAACCAGATTTCACTTGGACCACATTATTGGGTGGAGACCTAGCAGGAAGCCTGTAAGCACCCACTAAAAATATTTGGTGACTCCCTGCCTGGGCCTGGCACTGTATTAGGCCACGGAAGCTGGATAAAAGGAAGAATAACAGACCACCCCTGCTGAGAGAAACCCTGCGCTAGGGGGGAAAAAATGAAGAAAACCTTCAGTATATTTCGAAAGGAAGAAAGACAGCAGGCCTCTACTTGAGCACAGGGTGGAGACTGGACAGAGGAAAAATGGACCCTGAAGGTCCAGCCTGGGAGACTATAAAGACAGATAGCCATGTCCCTGGGCAAAGCTGGTCGGTGTGAAGCATAAGCTCTCATTGGAGAAAGGCTCTCTGTCCTTAATGGGCAAGTCTGTTTCCTGCCGGTGACAGGCTGGAGTGGGGGGTCCCTCCTATGGAGTTAGTGTACTGCTCTGTGGCCTTTAAAGTCCATCTCTAGCCGGGGGATGTCGCCTGCTGAGCTTCTCAGAACTTTCACTTCAGGTCACAGAGAAAGTCAGACACTAAGGGTTACAGCCTTCAAACGTCGCCCACAAGAGGGCAGTGGCCGGAAGCAGGTTCGCCGGCCCTAGGAACCGCCCGACGCTTTCTGGACTCCAGAGTACCCGTTCCCGAACCGACTGAGACTGGGGACAAAGGTCCAGCACTCAGCACACAGCCCCCCTAGAATCGGTGTCTGGAAGCGGAACTCAGCAAATCCCTCATCCCGACTCCCTGTAGCTTGGAATCTGAAACCCTGACTCGGTGGGAGGCCATTGAGAAGGTATTAAAAAACAAAACAAAAAACAAACAAACAAAAAAACCGAGCCTGACCTCTTAGGGCGAAGGGGGATGACTCTACCCCAACCCCACCCGCTGGTGAGTCACCTTCCTCCAAACCAGAGCCTGCCTCTCCTGCGCCCCGTGCCAGGCGAGCAGGGCTGGGCGGGTACTAAGGTGGGCTCCATCCCTGAGCCCTAGGCGGGCGGACAAGCTGCAGCGTGTCCCCGCGGGTGTCCCTGTTTACTCTGAGCCCTGGAGCGAGGTGGGGGCGGGCCCACGTGGCCCCTCCTTCACTCCGCCCCCTGAGGACGCAGGCCCCAATCCCGGACCCGTTCTTACAAAGTCTCCAAATCAAAGCTCAGCCTTTCCCGCACCTTCCCTGCGGACTGGCCACCCCTGCCCCCACCCTAGGCTGGGGAGGCACTGTCTGGGGTTCCCCAAGGGAATCAGGCCTCCTCCTAGACAGCGGCTCGGGACCCCACAGAGGGGATCTGAAATCCTGGGGGGGTGACATTGAATTTTAAAGAGGCGCTGGAGCGCAGCTCTCCTCGCCCCTTACCCCGTCCCACCCTCGGCTCCACCGGCTCTAGGGAGCGCTGGGATGAGGTAGACGCAGTTAGAGGACAGGGCGCCCGGGGACTCCCACTCTCGGACCGCTTCCCAGAACTCCAAAGCTTGTCGCGCCTCCGACTCCCCCTCCCCAGGGCAGCGCGCCAAATCAGCGCATGCGCACTGTCAGGATTGCCGCGTAGTTCTTTCTCCCCCCCCCTCTTTTTTTCTTTCCCCGCCCCTTCCCTCCTTCCCTCCTCTCCCTGTCCCCTCCCTCTCCCCTCTGAGCACCCCCTCCCTCCCTCCCCCCCCCGCGGCACTTCAGTCCGGGGAACAGCCGTGCGAGCTCCAGGCCAGTGCACTGAGGAGGCGGAAACGGGGGAGCCCCTAGTGCTCCATCAGGCCCCTACCAAAGGCACCCCCATCGGGTCCACGCCCCCCACCCCCCACCCCGCCTCCTCCCAATTGTGCATTTTTGCAGCCGGAGGCGGCTCCGAGATGGGGCTGTGAGCTTCGCCCTGGGAGGGGGAGAGGAGCGAGGAGTAAAGCAGGGGTGAAGGGTTCGAATTTGGGGGCAGGGGGCGCACCCGCGTCAGCAGGCCCTTCCCAGGGGGCTCAGAACTGTACCGTTTCACCTATGCCCCTGGTTCGCTTTGCTTAAGGAAAGGATAAGAATAGAAGAGTCGGGGAGAGGAAGATAAAGGGGGACCCCCCAATTGGGGGGGGGCGAGGACAAGAAGTAACAGGACCAGAGGGTGGGGGCTGCTGTTTGCATCGGCCCACACCATGCTGACCCCGCCGTTGCTGCTGCTGCCGCCGCTGCTTTCAGCTCTCGTCGCCGGGGCCACTGTGGATGGTGAGTGAGATTCCGGCGGCCCCCATGGACCCCTGGGGGCTCCCCCTCCCCAGCCTCCTACTCCTGCGTCTGGATGGGAAAGGGAGACGCGGGAGGGGGTGCCTTTTGTTACCCCAGTCCAGCTGACACAGCAGCGGCCTGACTGGGGGCGGGGATGGGGTCTGATTTGGGGGATGGGAACCTAGGGCAAATGATGCTTCCAGGGCCCCCCAGCCCAGACAAAGACCAGAGGCCCGGCTAGGAAATGAAGGCTCCCCCTTTTTCTGATCTTGGGATTGAGAGGCCTTCTCTTCCTATCTCTGGTACGGGAGGGCCTCTGCCTCCCCTACATCCTCCACCCTCCCGCTCCCCCCCATCTGAATTGTGCAGGAATCCGGATTTGGTGTGTACCGCTGCAAAAGGGGGCGGAGGGCCTTTTGCAGTGGACTCTGAAGGCTGGAAGGCAAAGCTGGCTAGGGGTACCCTGCTGGCCAAAGGGCAGGCAGGCCTAAAAAGCTGTGGGTGGGGATAGGGAGGGCCCCCTGTTTGGGTGTGGAATGAGCCCTGCATCCCAGGCATGGAGGCCTGGGTCCAGAATCCTGGGCTGCCTGCCTGGGTTCTGAAGTGAGCACTTCCCCTCTGAGGGCCTCTTGTCAGTAGCCCGATTGAGGGATGGAGGGGTCTGGTGATGCTTCTGGCTGAATTTCCCTTCTTAATTCCTGGGAGCTTTAAGATGAGAGGAAAACGTCAGATGTCATCATTCTGGAAGAGACTAGAGAATGGTCTGGAACGCTGGGGAGGGGTTCAGAGGAAACTCTGTCTCCCTGATCTCTGGCTTGATCACAGTTTGGGTTAGAAGGAGAGTTGGAGGTTGGGATGGGGTTATGACTATGCCCCCAATTCCTGCTCATTTAGTAAATGTGTAAAGCCCAGATCTACCTCACCTCATACACACACTTTGTATAATTAGTTAGATGTGGGCTTCTATGTTCTTATGGGGGAATTGCGTGCCCCTTGCTCCTTTTCTGTCGGTTATTTTTCCTCTTGCAATTTAGTTACCTGTTCAAGACTCGCCCAAGCTTCACGCTGGGGTCATGGGGTTGAATTGGGCCGGGTCTCTAACTTGAGAAGGGGTGAGATTTTTTGACTTCCTGTCAGGTTTGCCTCTCACTGGGGACAACAGCTTCATAGCATCTTACAGCCCTTCCTCTGCCTTCGAGAACTTGCCAGGCCGGGATTGGGAAAGTTTTTCTCTGAAACCAGATTATGTATCCTCCCCACCCCCTCCTCTAACTTGTTTCAGTTGGAGGAGGAGGACAAGAGGTTCAGAAGGCAGCTGTGCCTAGGAAAACAGTTTACCCAGTGGCCCTCAGTCACGTCATGTTGGGGACTGTCTTGTCTGGCTGCCACCCCTAATTTTCTGCCTGCGATGAGGAAAGAGACTCTGCCCTGTCAGACAAGCCTGTGCAGCCACCCTCTGCCCTTCACATCTAAGTCAGCCCGTGCTTTCTTCTTGGTCTCAGCGCTGGGAGGGGAGAGGGGAAACTGAGGCAAAGAGCTTTGGGAAGAAAATGTACTAAGCAAGAAACAGACCCACCATGAGCCCCCATGGAGGAGGGTGGATGGAATCAGGTAGAAGGGACAGATGAGTTGTGGAGATCCCTGGCTCATTCAGTACCAGGTCCTGGGGAGCATAGCTGCGCTAAGTTGATTGGTGGTCAGCAAATGAGAAACTGTGACACGTTCTACTTAACTGTCTCTAGCCATGTACCTCTAAGTCCCCAGTTCATTTCAGCTCTGCACATGGTCTGTCAGGACCGGGGTAAAGGTCAGTGGTAGGGTATTTGTCCTAGCACACAGGATGCCCTCTGTCCCATCCCTGGCAAGAAATACAGTTCTAGGAAAAGGACCACCTCCTGAGGAGAAAGAGAGAACCTGTGGAGGAGTAGGCGCCTGTGCATTCTGGAGCTCTTAGCTGGTCCCTCTGGGCTCTTCTTGGCTTTCTACAGAAGGAGCCTCCTGCCTCGACCTACCTAACAGTTTTAATTGCCCTTCTTGCTACACAGGAATAACTCTAGGGACCACCCCATACTGTCTTCTCTCTGTGTCTGAAACTCATACTGGAGTCCTCTGCGTTGTGGGTTGAGAGGCTTCACTTCCTCCCAGTAGACACATTTGGATACATTTGTAGCCAGAGAGGATAGAAAGGCAGAGAGGAGGATCATAGTGGGCCCTGCTGAGATGGGGCAGTTCGTGGTGGAGGAGCTTGACCTGCAGCCAGCTCAGGGAAGACAGCTGACTTTTCTCCCTAGCCCTCTCTTCTCCCGCTTGAGCCGGCATGTTAGTAGTTGCTAGGAAAGGTGGGCAGTTGAAGTGAGTTATGAGGTTGAAGTGCCGGCCTCCTGTCTTCCTGGAGAACATTCCAGTCTCTACTCTCCCTGCTCAGACCCAAAACCTAAACAGCCCTCCTTCAGAGCCAGGCATATATAGGAAATTCACTGGGGCCATTATTTTGATGTTGGAAGGCCACTTCACAAAGACTTTTTCTTCCAATCTTGTTCTCTGTGCTTTTGTTTGTTTTATTATTCTTTACCATCTGCCTTCCAACCCTGTGACCCCAGGCCCAGCCCTAAGTCAGATCCTTCCAAACTCATACCCTCTTCAAACCCCTTCCTTGGGCACAGTCCAGGGAGGTTGTCAGAGCACACTGAGCTTGCTGAAGGCCCTGGGTTCTGTCCCCTGTACCAACAAAACCCAGATCAACCAGCCATCACTTACCTTTGCAAAGACCTTCCTTACCCCAATTTTACTTTAACCCCAAACCCAGGATTTATTCTCTCTCACACACCCTGAATTCTCTTCTCGGGTCTTCCCTGTCCCTTGGATTGCTTACTCTGCCTGTGATCAAGATCTGAGTAGGTGAGCTTGCTTGTCCTTGGGGAACCTGGGCTGTTGAGTGGGACCATGCAAGGGTCCCTGAGTTGGTGGTGACTCGTGCCAGGGAACCTGGTCCCGCCTCCTGTGTTCTGTCCCAGATTTCAGCCTGGTTAGCAGGATCCTGCATTGTTTGGAGAAGGAAGCTGTTGGCTCTGAGTGTTTCCCGTGCCTCGACCTCATGGCACCAGTGCAGAGCCTCCCAGAAGGTGGTGAGGGGTAGAGAGGGGGGACTCTTCATCACACTCCCTTGAGATGACAGTCCCAGGCCCTGACTCCTCTGGCTGAAGAGTTTGACTTCCTTTTGGGGGGTGGGGTCGGGGGGTGGGGGGCACCCTCCCACTCTGTAAGAGACAGCAGCCTCTAATCTGGACTCCTGTTAGTCAAAATGTTGCTGATGCTGGGACTTTGTTTCCCAAGGCCAGGATATGTGTTGCTCTCCACTCTGTCAGAAGGGGAGGGGGTCGTTCTCTGAGTTCACCCTAGGAGAGCTGTGTCACCCTCTGGGCAACCTCCACCCCAGGCCCCCTTCCTGTGTTTTTTTTGGCTGTCCCATTTGTTGTCTGTCTGTTCTGTGTCATGGGCCCTCTTGATTCATATCTTGTGTTCATGCGTCCTTTGCAGCTGGACTCTGTTCTCAGTCCCTGTCTTAATTTCTTTTGTCTAACTCTGACCTCTGTGCAGTCCCCTAGATCTTAAAAGCTACCTGGTAGTGGCATTTCTCCTGGGCTTTTCTGTCTGTCCCTTACCTTCCTGGACCCAGATCATCCCCTCCAACTTCCTCTCTCCTAACCCTCCTCACTGATTTTGGGAATTGTCATTAGGGCACATATTTCTGAAA